AAAGAAGGCAGGGAAACCAGGAGCCAGCATTTAGAAGGGAGAGCATTCCGGGTGTGGAGGACACAATCACTGAAAAGATATAGCATCAGGAGATTCAGTGCCTCATGTGAGGAACAGCAAGTAGGCCAGTGGAGCTGGAAGGAAGTAAAGTCTGAGAAGACTGGAAAGGGAGGAAGGGGTCAGGTTGTGAATGTCAAACAGAGCATCTTGTATTTGATCTTGGAGGTAACAGGGAACCACTGGAGCTTACTGAGTGACACGGTTAGACCTTCATTTTAGGAAAATCACTTGGGCAGCCAAGCGGCTGGACTGGAATGGGGAGGGACTTGAAGCATGGAGAAGACTAACCAGAAGGCCCTTTCAATAGTCCACATGTGAGGGGACGAAGACCTAAACTGGGGTGATGATTGTGTGAGAGGAGAGAATAGGATAGACACGGGAGATGTTGTGAAGGTAGAAAGGGCAAGAATTGGCCACAAATCTGATTTGTGAGATAAATGAGCGTGAGGAGTCATGGATGACACTGAGGCTCCTTGCCCAGGTGACTGGTGGTCAAACTGTCTTGCCTTCTAAGAAAGCTGGGAAGAGAGGAAAGGGTTGTCTGGGGAGGCAGTGAGTCTGCAGCCTAGTTTGCAGATGTTTGAAATGCGTTTATTCTGAAATGTGTTATAATTATTACACACTGCTTATCTATTCTATGCTAAGAGTAAATTCTGCATAGAGTTTGAGCATAGGTGCTGGTCTTCATGGATGGCCAATTCATTGTGCCAAGGACGGTAACTAGCAACCACTGAAATACAACAAATTAAGAAGAAAGAAATGGGGTTTCGCTAGCGAGTGGTGAATTAGAAAAAATAGAGCTAATTTTGATTGAATAGATCCATAAATCCCCATACCTGTTCAACATAAGAAGTCAGGATGCTCCAAAGAAATAATTAGAGTTAAGGGAAAGAAAATTGCTAACTTTCTAGTGACTAGAGAAAGCATAGTCGTTACTCAGTCCTTTTACTCAGTGGGGCATACGAAACTGTCAGGGTGGACATGGGGCTCCTCTGTGAATTATAATAATAGCTACTATTTACATAGAGCTTTAAGGTTTGCAAAGTGCTTTAAATTTACTGTCTCATTTGATCCTCACAATAACCCTTGAGGTAAGGCCAATTATTATCTCCATTTTGCAGGTGAGGAGACCAAGGCTGAGAGATTAAACAACTGGCCCATGGTCACACAGCTCGTCAGTGTCTGACTCAGGATTTAAATTTCATATCTCCCTAAATCAAAGTTCACCAGTCTATCTGATGGGGTGCTTGTACTTGGACCCCAATTTCTCCCTGGCCCCAGAAACACTGTCCTTAGCAGTTTCCCTACATCCAAAGACCCTGTCTCTGACAGTGATTCATGACTGGGCCTAGTGAGGCAAACTATCTCTCCCTACAAGAACAAGCTGACCTCTGTAGAATTTCCCTTGTATCCCTTGTACTATCTTGTATCAAGGGAACTATCACGTACTGATTCCCACAATTATCGTGTACAATCCAGGGGTCAAGTTATAGACATCAACTCCTGAAGCTATCTTGTCACAGACATTACAGACCAAAGATACACCCCTTAGAACCCCCCTCCCAGGTTTCCAGTAGTGAATGACGTAGTTGTATGTTATCACCTAATTAGCATACTCAGGCTCATAATCTACTACTTTTCCCATATAAGCTTTAGCATCATTCTTGTTAGGTTGCAGCTTCCTTAAGAATCCTTGTCCGATGAAAAGCATAACAATAAACTTTTGCCAACTTGACTTAAAGATTGCTTGAGTTTCTGAATTTATTCCAGATGACTCCATCCTATACTACGGTCCCTGAGGGGTCGAAATCTCTCGGACCTCAACGTACGCACAATCCTACCCAAGCTGCTGCCAAACAGCCATCCACCACCTAGAGTTGGAAAATCTGTCTCTTTTTAGAAGCAACGACCACATACAAAGGGGGAAACAAAACCATCATCTCTACCTATACCAACCAAGAGGGAATGCCAATCAGAGATGGCAAATGCAGGTGGATGGGATTAATTGTATGGCTTCACCATGACCCCTAGGCAGACACATATACTCCCAGTCCTGAAAGCCTTTGTGAGGGGAGTGTTTTAGTGAATTAGAAGAATGAAGAAATGCAGAGGGTAAAGGAGAGAGAAATAAAGAGAATTATAGAAAAGTGGAAGAGAAAGAAAGACCAAGACATGGATAGAGACAGAAGAAGGTGACACAGAAACAGAAGACTAAATAGAGATAGAGAAAATAGTTGTTAATTCATCCCTCCCTAAAGTTCTTTGGTTATATTTACACTTGTATTTCTATAGCTTCAAGGATACACATAATTTCCACAGCATTTGCTTACAGACCTTGATAAGTATGTGTGTTTTTATTATGGTATCTTTGTATTTGGGTATCTACCTCTGCTTGGATCCTTACTAATATAAGTGTGGTCCTGCCTCTCCCCAGAGCTGTGCCTGCAGTGGTGCCTAATAAAAGTGCTGGAGCTCAATAAAGGTTTATTGTTGTTGTTGTTGTTGACCTTACTGACAATAAAAGTAATGACAGTCTCTCTGTGTGCATTTTATTTGTGTAATTCTTTATCCATGAATATCTGTGTCTGGCTCTATTAGATTCATGAAGTTAATTAAGCACATTTTGTCAGTGTTATGACATCTGTATGAGTGTGTGTGTGAGTGTGTGTGTAAGTGTGTAGCTGCTCGTCCCTGAACATAGTTGCATGCAAATGAGTGCTTATTTATTTATAAGCCCTAGAGGGTAGTCAGAAAGAGGGACCTAGCAGGATGAGAAAAGAAATAGAAAGAAAGAGTGTGAGGACAGAGAGACAAGGGAAGGGAGAGAACCTGAATTACAGATTGGCAGAGCCAGAAAGAGACAAAAGGAGAGAGGCAGAGGAGCACCTAAGTGGATGGAGATAAAGGTAGAGAGATGAGAAGAAAAGTGACAACAAAACATAAATGGAGACAGAATGAGTGGTAGTGAAAAGCCATGTAGAAATGCACAAACATGTCTCCAATGGAGACAGCCAGTCAGACAGACTCCCAAAGATCAGAAACTTGGTGAAAAGCTAAATGGGTGATCTGGGAGGTCCCACACTAGAATTCTGTTGCATCTGGACAGAGGGGGACTCTGGATTGGTGAGATTTCAGTTAATTCATGGGAGTTCATAACTAACTTACAGGGGTATGTATGTGGGGGGTGTTTAGTGAAATTTTCCCTGGAGGCCAAAGCAAAAAGGATCCTGGAAAGACAGTAGAATGAGGGCTTGATTTTGAGAACCTATACTCAAACCTGACTTGGTCACTATCTGTGTGATCCTAGACACATAATTTAACTTCTCTAGGCTTAGGTTTTCTCATCTTTGAAAGATGATTAAGCTAGATGACTTTTAAGTTTCTTCCCAGCTCTAAATCTATCATCCTAGGTTTCTGCTATGGCTTGGGAATCTTTACTTAGCTGGTGTGGAAGGTCTTAGGAGATCTGTCAGGTAAAGATGTGAGTTCAAATACCATTTCTGTTACTTGCTAACTGGATGACCTTGGGCAAGTTACTTAACCATCATGTGCCTCAGTTTCCTGATCTGTAAATGGCAAACCACTTCATTTCTTTGCCTAGAAAACCCCAAATGGGATCACAAAGAGTCAGATGTGATTGAAAAATGACTGAACAACAAAAAAAAAGGAAGGGGTTGGATTAGATAGCCTTTGAGATCCCTCTAGATCTATGCTATGAACAGAGGCAAAAGGAGTAACTAGGAGAGGAAGAGGAGTGGAACATATGTTGGGTTTGGATACAGATGGCCTGGGTTCAAATCCCATAGAATTGGTGCAATTGACAAGAATCTGCCACTTACTACTTTTTGATGCTGAACAAGTCACTTAAACTCTCTGGGCCTCAGCTTCCTCATTTGTAAAACAAGAGAATTGTTCTAGATCGGGGTGGGGAAACTGCCAAAAGGATTTGTTCTGTGAAGTTGGGATTCAGTCAAAGGGCCAGACTTGAGAACCTAGAAGGCCACATGTGGCTTCAAGGCCACATGTGGCTTCAAGGCCACAGGTTCCCCACCCCTGTTCTAGATGATCTTTAAGGTTCTTTCTAGCTAAATAAATAAATCTATGACCTGCTGAATGAAGAGGATGGATCTCCAAATCTCTTTTATTTTAAATCTTATGAGCTAATGAACTATTGAGTGCTGTGTACTTGGGACAGTGCTAGGGTTGTGGATGCTTAAAAGATGAGTAAAACACGGTCCTTGACTTCAAAAAGCTTATAGATTTGTAGGGATATGTCTTGTTCGTAGCACAGAAATAATTATAGCAAATGGTAGTATTAATAAATTCCTAAGACAATATAAGCACAGTGCCATGAGAGTTTAGAGGAGGGAGAAATCTCTTCTAATTGGATGGATCAGAGAAGGCTTAATGGAGGATGAGGAATCTGAGCAGTCTTGAATGATGGGCAGGGTTTGGAAAAGTGAGGATGGAATGGAAGGACAATTCATTGAGTAATGAGAATTTTGACAGTAAAATAAAAGAAGGTGAATAAATGAGAGTGAATCCTAGTATGGCAAAGATGAAGGTGGTACACAAGACATCCTCCCCTTCTACTCATGAACCAAAGTATCTTCGAAGTCAGGGAAGATGGGGATAATGGAGATACAGAGCTGGGAATTAGAGCTACATAGACACAACCAGAAACAGAGACAGAATGTCAGAGAATGAAGCACACAAATCCTCTGGCCTCTTCCAGAATCCAGTCTCCTGAACAGCCACTCCCCTGTCCGCGCCCCCCCCCCTTCGGCCCCCAGTTGAAGGAGTGCCAGACACCTGGAATGACTCATGCCTTGAAGATGCTGGTGCAAATGCCAAGAGTGCACCTGGGCATTTTGCCCACCCTTCACTGGGCAGATGTTAGCTGTGGGAAGAAGGCTGAAGTACGGAGACCACTGGGTAGATGGGGGGCATCAAAGAGGTCCAGAGTTACTTGGCTGTGCTTTAGCTCCATAGTGCCCCCTAGTGTCTTTCCTCTTTTGCCCTGGGGACCCAGGTGTCCTATCCTCTCCTCCCCCTTCCCCTTGGGAAGCAGGAGAACCAGATGGGCTATTGCGCAAGGTCTCTGCCTGCTGTTTACCTCCCGCCGGGGCCTCCTCCCTCTCTATAAAGTCTGTGCGGCGCGGGGGAGACGCGGAGAGACAGAAACTGAGGCTGTCGAAGAGAGGAAGACGGATCAAAAGAGATCCAGAACGGAGGGAAAGAGAAGCCCAGAAGTTAAGGGGGCAGAGGAGGAGAAATAGATTTCGTATTGCGGTGGGGTGGGGAGAAAGAGATAGAGTAAGGGAACCCACTGTGGGGGTCGAAAGAGCATCAGGTGGACCCTTGCCACATCTCCCCATGGAGGTTTCGGAGTTGGGTCCCGGTCTGGTGGAGCGTTTGGAACAACTGTCGACTTGTCCGCTGTGTGGGGGCCCCTTCCAGGACCCCGTGCTTCTAGCATGCGAGCACAGTTTCTGTCGCGCGTGCCTGGCCCGCCGCTGGGGCGCCCCTCCAGGGCCCGGTGACACTGACACGGCGCCTCCCACGGTTTGCCCCTGCTGCAGTCTCCCGTGCCCTCGCCGCAGCCTGCGGTCGAACGTGCGCCTGGCAGTGGAGGTGCGGATCAGTCGCGGGCTGCGGGAGAAGCTGGCAGAGCCCGGGGCTCGGACCGGGAGGCGCCGTGGGGGACGCATCCCTACCATGGGCTGTCAGGATCCGCACGGAGAGGTGAGGACTTGTCCCTGGAAAGATGGGAGGGCTAGTAAGAGCTAGAGACTAAGGTTCAGAGGGAAGAGAATTGGGTACTGGGAGGCTGTTATGTATGCCTGGATCCGGGGGCGGGAGGGAGCGAGGTAGGCTGGTTTACTTGGCTTCCGAGGGAAGTCTGGGGGGAAGAATGGGGTACGGAAGGAGATAGAGGCTGGAAGGCCGTTTGGAACACACTATGGTGTGCTTAAAGTTGTGAGATGAGAGAGAAGGGTGGGGTCGAACTTGAGGAGAGAAGGAGGATTTGGGGGAAGGGGAAGGAAAGTAGACTTCACCTGGGGTCCTGGGATGAGTGACGGTTGAACGCTGGAGACCTTAAATAGAAAGAAAGGTCAGAAAGGTCAGAAAGTGCTGGGTCCAGCACTTGGGGCCTGAGAGGCAGATGGGACCTGGTAAAGGAAGGTGAGGTGGAAAATGAGAGGTGCCAGCGCTTAAAATACCTGAGCCCCGAGAAGGGATTTGGGGGCATAGGGGAAAGCAGGGAGTTAGACTCTTGGATGGGCCATGGGATTTCCTGAAGACAGCTGGCATCTGTGAGTGAGTGCTTGGGCTTGTACCTGGGCTGGAGTAGAAGCCTGGTTGTTATTGTTGTTGATCTCTCCTTCCCGGAGTCCTAGGTGGGGATTAGGGGAGGGAAGGGGGTGAGAGGAGGTGAAACTAAGGCTGAGGGTAGCAATCTGGTGTATGGGTTCTTTGGTTTTCACCTTGAATCCAGGCTACCTGGTCCCTGGCCTTCCATTCCCCTTGAGGACCCAGGTGATCTGGTCCTTGGCCTCCTTCCCTTCCTGGGACACAGAGGTGTTTAGAATCTCTTGCAGCCCTAGCCACTTCCGCCCTTTGAAGCTCTCCGAGACCTAATTAGTCTTGTGGCAATTAACATAACGAGGCTAATTGCCTCCTCACCCTCATTCCACCTTGGCTCCAGCCGAGACTGGTCCACACCCTTGCCAACAGCAAGAGACCCCTGATTGAGGAAGCTTGGGGCACCTTCTCCCTGTTTCTCAGACTCCTCAAGAAACTATGTGCCTCAGTCTCCTTAGCCTCTGTTGGGGGGCCACACCCCAGATCTAAATGCCTTTTCAGGTTGTTGGGGAGTCCCAAAGTTTAGAGAGGCTAATAAACACTATTAGGGTTTTATGGTGAGAGGGGAAGCAGCTTTTATTAGAGAGCCTGAGAAAGGGATGGGGGGTGGGGTGGGGGGAGAGGTAAGGGAATAATGCATCATGAAAAAAAGTTCTGTAAGCAAAGAGGCTTATAATACCTCTCTAACAACAAAGTTTGGGGCATTGTTTGTTGAGATTAAGTACTGGAGGATATGGGCATGTAATATGGTGAAAGATCAAGGAAGAAAGGATGAGCCTAGCCAGAGTAGGGTAGGATGAAGGAAATGACAATATAAGAGGTTTGATGGGTGGGTGGGGAGACAGACATATTGGGGGGGATTGGTTGGGGATTGTACCTTTAGAGTTAGAAGGGACCTTGGAAGTCATCTAGACCAACTCTTTCATTTTACAAATGAGGAAACTTCATCCCAGAGATGTTAAAGATGACTTGCCCAAGGTCATTCAGGTAATGGCAGAGATGGAATTCCAACTTTCTACCACATTATACTGGAACATATTGAGGGGGGGGATATCCCTCTGAGGGATGGAATGGGAAATCTCTAGAACAGGAGTTATTTGCCTAGATTCACAGACTGGATAGCTTTAAGTGGTCCATGAAAGTGGATTAAAAAAATACATCTTTATTTTTTACCAGTCTCTAACTGAAACTTAGTATTTCCTTCAACTATTTTAAAACATTTTTCAGGGCAGCTAGGTGGCGCAGTGGATAGAGCACTGGTCCTGAAGTCAGCAGGACCTGAGTTCAAACTCGGCCTCAGACCTAACATTTGACACTTACTAGCAATGTGACCCTGGGCAAGTCACTTAACCTCAATTGCCTAAAAAAACCAAAATAAAACACTTTTCTGGGAAGGGGTCCATAGGTTGAAACAGAAAAGGTTAAGAACAGTTGCCCTAGAAAAAGAGTTCCTCCAAAGGAGGAAATGGGGGTAGGACTTGAAAGACTGGGTCCCCGGTTAAGGTCTTCCACAGCATCAAAGCCTACAGCTCACCTTTCTTTTCTCTTTTACCCCACCCCTAGGATGTGAGGAAGACGTGGAGAAGGTGAGTTCAACTCTGGATGTTCCTCTTTCCCTACCAAGAGTTTCTATTTCTGAAATCAAGTGAGATAATATATGAAAAGTACTTCTTAAATCTTATCTTGATATAGCAGCAACTATTATTAATAAATAATAATAAAAATTCCTTAGCCTCACCTATTATGTATGGTCTTCCCACCTCTATTTCTTCTTTCCCCATGATTGATTAATCATGAAGCAATGAGTTCACACATGCTGTACCTTTTCCCCAATTACCAGTAGCAGGACATTTAGGCTTTCAGAATGAGGGTTAATAGGGTTTTTATGTGCATGTCTATAATAACTACATCTTTCCCAGACTTGATGCCACAAAGCCCAAACCAGAGGAATCAGATGAGGACATCCCAGAAGATTATCCTGTGGTCAAAAACATGCTCCACAGACTCACAGGTGAGTTGGAAAATGGGAAGAGGAAACCTAAACCAAGACTGGGGAGGTTCCTCAATCAGGAGGTCCTTGTTGGTGTCTAACCTCAGTTGCTCTTCTCCCCTTACCTAGGTCCCTCTCCCTTTTTACTCTGCCCCACCCCTTCCCCAGTCAGCTTATATTCCTAAGAGCCCTTCCTCTCCTCTATCCTACACCATTATTTTACCTTCTTAGGAAGTATCCCCTGCCACTGAGGAAGGCCACACCTGTATTATTTTGGTCAGAGATTATTAACCTTGTTGGAGGTACCCAAAGAAAAAGATTCTCCACTTATCTTGGTCACTGACCGCAACCATCACAGGCCTCCTTCTTCCCTTCACCACTGATAAAGATGTCCCTCTTATGTCTGTCTTCTGGCTCTCCTGCAAACTCCTTTTCTCTCACTACAATCACCACAGAATGTGCAGCACAGTGATTATTCTTCTTGTCATGGGTAATGCCACCTCTCCACTCCACTCGGGAGTTAGGTCCATCCACCCCATTGTGTTTCTGTGGGTGGGTGGGCTGGTTTCTCAAGTTACCTCAGAGTCCTCCTCAACTCTCGCTCCCAGTCCTTCCCTCCTAGCTCCTCCACCTTAGGTTCCTGGTATCAATTGCCTTCACTTGGTTTCCACCTTCAAGGTCCTGCTGGCCCGGCTCCCTCAGCCCCACCCAGATTTAGTTGAAGCTATTTCCCCCACCCTTTTCTTGGGAACCTCCTCCCGCCTTCCCCACACCCACTCATTTCCAACCCGACCCTCAGTTCTCTGCTTTCAGTTCTGTGCACGATGTCCCAAATGGCACTCCAAACACAACCACCATTCTCAGCCCCCATCGTTTTTCCTCTTCCTCCGTCTGGTATCTGCCTTCAGTAATTCAACTGTCCTTTGATAGCTTCCTCAGCTCCTCCCTGGCTGGCCTCCGACCTCCCATCCTGGCCACCCACTCCCACCCCCACATTCACCATCCAGCTCTATTAAACTCTTCGTGTTTTCTCTTCAAACTTTATCTCCTCTCCATTCTCACCCTTCATTTTTACTTTTTTTCTGACAGGCCCCTTTCGCTCTGGGTAGAAGAAAGCGCACTAGATTTGGAATAAGTGGACCTGGGGTTCTAAGCTGTTTTCCCGACTTTTCTTTGCCTGTCAAATGAGAGTTGGCTTATGTGATCTCTAATGGCCCTTCTAAATCTTAAGATTCTTCATATTTATCTTCCCTTCCTTGTTTCCCAATCCACCAACCAGCGGACTTGACTCTGGACCCTAGCACTGCACACCGTCGCCTCCTTGTGTCCCCGGATGGTCGAAGCGTCTGTCTAGCCCCACCTGGGACACCCGTACCACCAGATGGACCAGCCCGCTTCGACCAGCTCCCTGCTGTGCTGGGCGCGCAAGGCTTCAGAGCTGGACGGCATTGCTGGGAAGTGGAGACAGCTGGCGGAACCTCTTCCGGGGAGTCCTCGGGTGAAGAAGACGACAGAGAGAGCCGCTACGCCGTCGGTGCGGCTGGAGAATCTGTGAGGCGCAAAGGCCGCGTGGGGTTGTGTCCCGCGGGGGCCGTGTGGGCTGTGGAAGGCCGTGGGGGCAGGTTATGGGCACTGACAGCCCCAGAGCCTACGCCCTTGGGGGGCGGAAGACCCCCGCCAAGGAGAATTCGCGTAGACTTGGACTGGGAAAGGGGCCGAGTGGCTTTCTATGACGGCCGTTCCCTTGACCTGCTTTTCGCCTTCCAGGCATCCGGGTCCCTCGGGGAGCGTGTCTTTCCGTTGCTCTGCACCCGGGACCCGCGGACCCCACTCCGCATAGTACCAGCTGACGGCTGAGCCCCCCACCCTGCACTTTTACTAAGGGATTCCGCGCTCCTCAGTAACCACTTGGAGACTCCAGCTCACCTGGATTCGCGTTGCCTACTCCCAAGAAGTTCCTAACTCCCTCCCGGCCAATTTCAGATCAAGTCTGTATAGCTGGATTTGGAAATCTGAGATCCATTTCCCCCCAAATCTCAAAGCTTCCTTAGAATTCTAATATGCTATATTTCTACGAGTGAAGTACTTTCTAAATAAACCTACAAACCCACTCTCTTCCTACATCCCCTAGACCACTCTAACTCCACCCACAACTTCCACAATCGGGAACGTTCCTGTACTTATCTTGCCTCCTCCTAAGCCCCGCCCAGCCGGGGAAACCCGCCTTCTCAGCAGGTCCCCAGGACTTTTCACTCTTCTATTCCTTTTCCTAGAAAGTATAAAAGGTACTGTTTTTTCCCAATTGTTTTCAAGACCCTTTTCCTGAGGTCGGTTATTACTTGCCGCCGCCTTCTGATGAGTAATTTGTACCCTGCAGCAACCTATAAGGTCTACCATCCAAGTTTCTCTGACCTTACCCATTTGAGGATAAAGCTCTTTTACTCACAGCCTCCCTTTTCTCTGAGGTCTGGCTTGATGCCATGCAAGCCCTCTCCTACATTCTTCCCACTTCCCATTCAGGATGAGGTGCATGGTACTACCTCTCCCCACTTTGGGGGTTCTGGGCACAGCCCAAACTAACCCTCTTGTAAATACTCCCTTTACTATATAATTGGCCCCATATTTAACACATTCTGTGATGTTGGGTTATTTATTTTGAGAACCTGTAGCAATAAATGAAATCTCAGTGAAGAGGTGGAGTTGGTTGACCTTTGCAGACAAGTGGAAGAACATAGGAGACAGTGGATGACTCACTCCCAGGTATTGAATAGAGAGAGGGGCCTATTAGTTGGTGTTGTTCTTCTGGGCTTATTTGGGATCAGGGTGGGTAGAAGGAATACCAACATCTTTGATCCCTCTTCATCCCCTCCTAGGTGCCCCTCAATATTATACTGGATCCAACCTCTGCAATGGGAAAACCAGAAAGCTGAGGGAATCAAATCCAGGCAACCAGAATTTCAGCTTCCTTTGCTAAAAGCCCTAGAAAGGACACAAAAACTGAGAGAGACTGCCCTTCTCCCTTCAACCCCTTCTGAAGACATTTTGCGGAGTAGTAGTTAAGAAAGGGATGAGGAGTGGGAACTCTCTGCTGTCAGCCTCTTTGGAAGGGGTAGACATCTTCCAACCTACTGATGAGATTTTAAGACATAACCCGAATCCCTTCCCAGCTGATGAGTAAGAATTAGGATTGCATAATACTTTGGAGTAGGTGTTTTAAGCCAGGATTAGAGTACAGCTTGGTAGCAGGGCAACTGGCCATTAAGGGGAGTGGATATCTGGGTCTTGGATGGGATAGAGGCCTGGCAGTGAAAGCTGGGGTTTATAATGAAGCCCACTCTTAAGTGTGCTAGAGATTCAGAGAACAAGGGATTGAGGGCTGGGAGGATTTGAACTCCAGGGAAGGGAATTTGGCAGTGAGAACAAAGGGCTGGATAAGAATGGGGCTGGAGAGTAGGATAAAAGATGCCTGGGTCCCTGAGAACAGGGATGGTATGGAGGAAGAGGAATGAGAGCTGAGGGAGCTAGATGCCTGAGTCCCTCAAGGGTAGAAGGAGCCTGGAAGCCTGGGTTCTGGAATAGCAGCAAAGTCAGGACTCCAGGATTTTTGCCTGCCCTTCCCTCCCCATTCCCTCCAGCAGATAGAGGAGAGGCAAGGTGAGGGGATGGGAGGGGGTAGGGGTGGGGTCAAACCATGGGTTTAATCCCCAAATAGTGACACAGACACATTCAGGTCCAGATAAATGGAGGGACAAGGGAAGGAGAGTGAAGCTCAGTGCTGCATGGGCCCAGGTGGGGGTTGGGAGGGGTTAGGGAGGTGGGAAAGAGTGGTTGGGGGCCCAGTGGCAATACGACGTTGTCCCTTGCGGTGGCCCCGAACACAGTGAGTGTGACCACAGCCTTCATCATCTTCATCATCGCTCTCTGTGGAGCTCTCACCAAAGGCCCGAGGCTTTTCATAGATACAGCAACCTATGGAGGGAGGCAGTCAGAAAGAGAAGGAATTCAGCTCTTCAACTCAACTCCTCCCTTACTCCATTCCTCCCCTTAGACCAAGAGGAATATTTCCCTTTACTGTATAATTGGCCCCATATTTAACACATTCTGTGATGTTGGGTTATTAATTATGAGAGCCTGTGTCAATAAATGAAATCTCTGTGAAGAAGCAGAGTTGGTTGACCTTTGCAGATGAGTGGGAGAACATGGAAGAGAGTAAACAACGTACTCTCAAGATTGAGTGGAGGGAGGGGCAGCTAGGTGGCCCAGTGGATAGAGCACTGGCCCTAGATTCAGGAGTACCTGAGTTCAAATCCAGCCTCAGACACATAACACTTACTAGCTGTGTGATCCTGGGCAAGTCACTTAACCCCACTGCCTAGCCCCCCCCAAAAAAAGAGTGAGTGGAGGGACTCACTTCTACTTGCACCCTCCTCTCCCTTTGCAGAATAAAATTCTTTGAAGTTCTCACTTCTCTCCTAAAATTCAGGCACCTAGTCCCCTATCTCCTGGCTCTCCCCTCAGAATATTGGGGTTTCTTCCACTACCCACCCTCTCAGGGTAGAAATACACCATGCTCCAATGTCCTCTCTGCTCCATCTCCTCTAAAGATCTAGGCATTCACTGTGCCCCTATCATCACTGAGCAACCATCAGGATCTGGGACATATGTAAGCCTGGGGAGAGAGGTAATGTCTGGAATTTGGAGGGTCTGAGTGCTTTAGGAGCAGGTTGAAGGTACTGTAAAGCTCCTGGAGGGATGTTGCTACTCACATTTTGATGAACGGCGTCCTAAATGTTCATTATCCACAGTATCACTTGACCATTCCACCTTCTTGTCTGGCTTCCGTTTCCGAAGTTTAATAGTTAGGCTACGGTTTTCCTGGGAGGTGGGAGAATAGGGAGGACGAGATTGAGGTGGAGTGATGAATTTCCCCATGTAAGTCTATTACTTCTTATCACTATCTCTTTTGGGGGCTTCTAGTCAGTCTCCCCTTGCCCTGTTCATGTAGTTCATACCATAAACACTGTATTGTATATCCTAGAAAGCTAGGAGATAGAGGTACAGGGGCACACTCAGGGTTTCTCAGTTTAATAGAAAAAATATTTCTTTGGGGGTAATCTCTGGAGAATTGGACCTTGGAGAATTACTCAACCAATGAAGGTGTAGAGGAAACAAGTTATATATTCCCGAATGTTCATTCTAATCATACATTCTAATTATTAATATTAAAAGTTATTTTTCCAGTCTCCAATGACATTTGAAGTTTCCTATAGAATCCTACTTGATTTTTCATGCTTAACCTCTCCACCCTCATCTCCTTCCAAATCCCTTTCTCTCCATCTCTACCTTTATGTTTCCACCTAACTCAATGAGTGGAAGATGGGTGAAGTAGGGGATAGGATCCGAATCTCTCCTCTCTTTTCTTAAGCCGGGTCTTGACCATCCTATTCTCTTATTTTCATTCTCTTGCCCAGCATTCCCTATATCTCTCATTCTAAGTCCAACCTCCCCAACCTCTAGCCTCTAGGCATTCTTTGCCATTAGTCTCCTAAACCCATCATGTCTCCCCATCTCGTACCCAAGCTGCTTCCTGGCTTCCATTCCCTCTCTTTCCTGCTCCTTTTTCATATCTGATCACCCAGCCCTGCCTTGGTTTCCTCTTCCAAATCTTTCTTAGCAAAGACCCTGCCAAACACCTCATCTCCTGATCCTAACACCCCCATCCAATACTTCTTCCGTTCCCTGAAGCTCCATGACGTATTCCTCCCAAATCGGCTCCCACCGCTGCTGACCCCTCCCCCGTGGCCGCCCAATCTCCAGCACAGCCTTTCTCTAGCCTTTCCCTTCCTCTCCCCTCTGGCATCCTTTTCCTCCCACTCTCTTCCCCCGTCCTTTCCCTCCAGCATCCTTTCCCTCCCCCTCTCCTCCGTCATCCTCTCCCTGTCTACGCTATGTTCTCCACACCCCTGTCCTCCTCACGGGTTCGGTTGTCACAGTAACCGATGTCTCGGTGACGGTCTCACTCAGCCCGGCCGTGGCCTCGGCCATGGCGGGGGCTGAGGGTGGGACGGGGACGTCGGGGGAGGCGTTATCTTCCTTTCCCTGGCTCTCTGGGTGAGTATATGCCTCCGGGTCGGGGGAAGTAGGAGTCAGGGTCGAGTTGTTGTGGCTCCTCTTTGGTCTGGACTTCCCCGCCCCCCGAGGACAGGCAGCCCACCCCCACTTCCGTCTCTTGGCTTCCGGGTATGACGCTCCTCCGCACCCGGCTTGTCCCGCCACCAATCGTAAACGGTCAAAGGCGCAGGCGCTCCAGAACTACTTCCGCCGTAATCAGAGTGAGCCAAGGCTACTTGGCCAAGAGCCAGTGAACGCTTGGGGGCGCCCGCTGGGTGAAGGAGGCAAGGCAACTGTAAGGGCCAGATGCGCAAGCGCAACAGAGAAGCTATCGTGTGGCTAGTGCCTGGTGCTAGTGTTTGGTGCATAGGAATGTGGCTCTGCACGTGCACTAGCTGCTCTTCAACTTGTGCTGCCGCTGGGAGGAGAAAGGATCCCTCTGAACTTGAGGTGCACCGAAATCTTAGGGACTCCCATCACAACAAACATCCCTTCCTCATTCAATGCAGGAATTGAGGCAGGAGGAAATGGGTGAGAGTCCATTAAGAGCCAGAAACGCGGGTGTTTTGTCCAGGCTCTGATAACACTAACTAGCCGTCAGATTTGGAGCGCGCCACAAGTTCTCTAAGATGCTGTTTTTTTAACCAGTAAATTGGTCCTGTCTTCCCTCCTAGATCATGCAGTTTGATAGTGGATGTAGTTAATGTACACCTAAATTCGTTGAAATGCCTCAAGTCTTGAAAAAATTACCAATGATTACAGCGGTTGACATTGTTTAATATTATGCAGTCCATCGCTCAGAGTTTCCCCTTCATCCCGGCAACTAATGCTGGTGAAAAAGTTGCGATTATTTTCCAAATAATTTTTTGTAAGCTTTTTTCATGGTCATTACTCCTCCTCTGGCAGCACTTTCCTCCCTTTGAAATGGCCACACTGTAGCATGTCCTGTACACTGCTCATGCCTTCCCAATCTTCAGTCTCGAGTTACCTCGGCCAGCCACCTTTGGTCTTTCCCGTTGGCTGAATGACAAAGGATGTCACCCTACAGATTTGTTAATCTCTACTGAGTGGGTTCTCACTGCTGAATTGCAAATATTTTACTTTTCCCTAAAAGATTCTCCCTATTGTATTCCCCGCTTGGGTAGTTTCAAACTTTCTTTCCTTAAGACACTTAACCCATTCTTCTTCCCTCCCCTCTCAGCAAAGTACCTTAACACTGATTTACTGATGAAGTTGAGGCCATTCATTGTGAGTTACTTTTCCCTCCAAATTCTTCCCCTCACATCTTCCTCATCACCACTCTGGTTCCTCCTTGTCAAGCTTCTATAAGAAGCAGTCCTCCTCATCAAGGCCAACTCCTTCAACTTGTGCCCTTGATCTATCTCAATCTCCTGCTGTCTTCTCTTTGAGCTTTTCCCATCAATTGTCCCCTTTCTAATTTTCAATCTTACCATGCCCAGATTTGCTATTACCTCAAGCTATCAATTATATGTAGGGTGTCTCAAAAACAGTTTAATTTTAAGCTAATAAAATTTAACATGCAATAGCTTAAAACTGCACTAAGACTTTTGGGACACATTTAATATGTATTCCTCTTTTTACTGCAAAAATCCCAGAAAGAAAAGTTATCTACAGTTTCCACACTTGATCCATTTAATCCTTTGCAGGCTGGCTTCTGAAGCCACCAACCAACTTACACTGTTTGTCTGAAATGTTACTAATGATCTCTTAATCTTTAAATTCAGTGACTTTTTCTCAGTCTTCATCTTTCTATTGACCTTGTTTAAGTATGACATTCTTGACACCCTCTACCCCCTCCCCCACTCTTCTTGGGTTTTCATGAGGCTGCTTTTATAGTTCTCTTCCAGTATGACCCTTCCTTCTGTGTCCCTCAATGGATTGATTTTAAACCCGTTATGTATGGATGTAACCTGGAGCTGTTTTGGGCCATCTTCTGTCTTCATCTCATTTAACTTCTATGAGTTTAATGATCTATGAGTTTGATATGCAGATATCTCAAAAATGGAAACTGTTTAGTCCTTATCTTTTACATGAGGTCCAGTCCTGTATCACAGCTTTAGCCTTGGCATGTCTTAAAACAGAACTGGTTCCTCCCAAACCTATCTTTCCTAGTTTTGTTTGTGTTGTTATTGTTCAGTCATGTCCAACTCCTTGTGACCCCATTTTGGGTTTTCCTGGCAAAGATACTGGAGTGGTTTGCCATTTCCTTCTGCTCATTTTACAGATGAGGAAACTGAGGCGAAGAGGGTTAAGTGACTTGCCTAGGGTCACATAGCTAGTGTCTGAGCCTGGATTTGGACTCCAGCCTTCCTGAGTTCAGGCAAGCATCCATTGAGACTAGTTGCCATTTTTGTTGATACAGTTACCATTAACAATGAAGCTCCCCTCTCCTCACCTTCACCTCCTCCAATCCCTAGCTTCTTCCGAGGTTCCATTCACCTAAATTACCTATCCTGCCCCAACCTCTCTGCTGACTTCTAATCTTGAATCTCCAACTGCCTTTCAGATATCTCAAACTGGATGTCTAATAGACATCTTACAGTTAACATGTCCCAAACAGAACTCCTTCTCTTTCCCCCTAAACCCTAACCCCACCTTACTTTCCTTATTACCGTATAGGGAAGAAACACCATCCTCCCAGTCTCTAAGGCTCAAAACCTACAAGTCATCCTTGACTTCTCACTCTCAGCCCCCATACCCAATCTGTTGTCAAGGCCTGTCAATTCCATCATTGCAACATCTCTCAAACATGCCTTTGTCTCTCCTCTGACACTGTACACCCCTCTGGTGCAGGTCCTCATCACCTCACACCTGGGTTATTGCAATAGCCTGCTGGTGGGTCTGCCCACCTTCTCTCCCTATTTCAAGCCATACCTCAAGTGTAGGTCCAACCATTTCACTCCTGTGAGTACAGGATAAACTCTACATGGTGTTCAAAGTCCTTTATAACCTAGTGTTTTCCTACCTTTCCAGTCTTCTTACACCATACTCTCCTTATTCTTTGATCCAGTGACGCTAGTCTCCTCTTACGTCTTGGCTACAGGAATTCTGACCATCCCCCATTCCTGGAATGCTCCTTCCTCCTGTCTACTGGCTACCTTTAAGTCATAACTAAAATCTCATTTTCGACAGGAAGTCTTCACCAACCTCTCTTAATTCTAGTGCCTTCCCTGTTAATTGTTTCCTAGTTATCCTAAATATAGCTTGTTTGTATATATTTATTGCCTTTCTCCATTCCCTCTTTGAGGGAAGGTACTGTCTTTTGCCTTTTTGTCTCCTCAGTTCTTAACATAGTGTCTCGCATATAGTAGATACTTGATAAGTGTTTGTTTGATCCTGCCGACACCTATCTCGTTAATGTTCTTCCTTCCCACCCTCACATGACTTTATATATATTTTTTCACTTATCTATATACGCCTTCCCCTTCAGTAGAAAGTAAATTCCTATAGAAGGCAAAGACTGACTGGGTTGTTGCTTTTCGGTCTTTGTATCCCCAGCATCTAGTCCAGTGTGTGGCATGTAGTAGGTACTTAAATTATAAGCTTGTGAATTGAAATGAATGAGTACTGCAACACCCAATGACCAAATGTCCCAAAGGTATGTTGCCTTTGAACACAGGATAAAACTAATTCTGCTAACTCCTTTATTTACTTTTCCCAGGAGAGTAAGTGCAGCATACTTCTAGTTTTATTCTCTGGTTTAATTTAAAATGAATGTAAAGACTGATACAATTCTTCTAGTAGTATGTTTACTTGTTGGTCAATGGACAAGGATCTCTATTTGAGTTCTTGTCTTTTGTCACTCTACCACTTGACAGTGCAGAAAGGGGCCACCGTCAGAGTGAGAGCATTTCATATTTTTCTGTTTCATGGTTTGTGGTGGCCAAATGACTCATCACCAAATGGCAAGTCTATTAGGAATGAGCCTCTGGTTTCTCAGAACTAGGCTGGTGCTTGGAAAGCAGACATCTGTTTCTGGGATTGTATTTGAGGCCTTCCCAGCAGAGTAGAACCTGCCAGAGCTTACACTTCATAGCTCACAAGAACCCAGGGGTCACCTCTGTACAATGATGATAACATAGTAGGGCTTTGTGAAGAAGAATGCCAATTGTCCAAGCTACAATAAACCTCTAGATAGACAACCCACTGAGCTTGTCATCTGTACTATATTTCCGGGGACCTTAAAAATGGATAATGAGCTAAATCTAGAATTGAAAAGAGGAAGAGCTGGACTGCCTTTAGGAAACTGCATAGTTCTTTTAATGGACCCCTCCAAGTTTTCTCAGAAACAAACGCCCATCCTCTTAATTTCAATATTCTTCAGTGATGGAGTATGGTTGTGATTAATGGAATCATAAAACCTCTAAAGTTGAGGGTCACCCGAAGTGCAACTGAGGTTGCACTCCATAGCCTTCAAGAACCCAGGTCACCTTCTATATCATGAGCCATCGAAGCAGGACTCTGTGGAGGAAGAATGCTGAAACACATTACAGAAGAGGAATTATGTGGGAGAAGTGGCATAAAATATGACATCAAAGAGTATGACCAGAATGAAGTGAACACAGATAGACAACCAATGAACAAACAGACTGTGTGCTCCACACAATGGCAAAAGGATGCAAGAAAGCGTCCTGTGAGAGGATTAACGAAAGTAAAGAAAAAAGAATCATTAGCTGGGCAGGGATAGGTTACAATCTGTACCACTGGAGGGAATACCCAAATTGACGAAAATGAATATCCCTTTGAAGATATTTATGTTGCATGTGCATTACAACTCATTTGATCTTCACAATAATTGTAAGGTAGTATATGTTATCCCCATTTCACTGATGAGAAAACTAAGAATTACAAAGGTTAAGTAATTTATTAATGGTCAGTCACACAGCTAAGTAAGTGCCAGAGGCAGGATACAAAGTCAGGCCACTGCTGACTCTATGTCCATTTCTCTTTCTCCCACAATGGCACACAGTAATAATACCAAGTAGCATTATTACCTCAAGGACTCTGTCATCCTGCACTGCCTTGCTCCCCTCCTCCACTCCCTTCCTGGGATCCTGACTACAGAAATGTGAATGGAAAACACACTAGAGGTTTAAAGAAAATACATAGCTTTAATCACATACAAGAAGATGAAAGACAAGGGAGGGTGGTACCACAGTAACAGGGTCGGAGGTGTCAGATAAGGAATTCTAGAGACTCAGCATTTAACTAGGGGCTTACCTTTTAAATAGAAGAGACTGAGTCCAATAGGGTAGCTAGAGATCAAGAATCTTCTTTCTCTTGGAACCTAAAGAGAACAGATTGTCAGATTAGACAGAAAGTACTTCCTAGCAATCAAGAGAAGTCATACATCTTTCCCAATCTAATGTGTTTTCTCAGAAAAGACTCTTCAACTAATTTGGGCTATGTGGAAACAGTGGGAGGAAAAGGATGACTATTGGTCAAGCTCGACCAGTGTTGAATATGTGTATTTATAATCATAGTCTTCTCATTTAAGTGTTATGAGAACCCTGTGAAGTTAAGTATTAAGATCTAAGAGAAGTTAAATGACTTACCCATGGTGACAAAGCTAGTAAGTATCAGGATCAAGATTTCAATTGAGGTCTTTATAAATCCCAGGCTGAGAACAAAATCCGATGTGACATACTGTGAGCTAGGGCTTTAACTGAATCCAGATGTGGGATTCATGTCCTAACACCTTGGGAAGAGGAATTTGGAGGAGAAGGAAAAAAGGAAATCCTTGCTCACCGGCAGTTAGTACAGGTATAGAAAACAGTCTGTCCTTCATCAGCTGAACGCATCTGCCGGGTATGATATGCCATTCCCTCATGACCACAGTTGGAACAGCGCCTGTCAATCTGAGAAATTAGTAGATTAGAAGGGACTCATAGCTCCCTGCTCAAAAACTTTAGTGGTTCCTTAGTACCTATAGGACTTTTTTTTTTTTTAGTTAGGCAGTGGGGTTAAGTGACTTGCCTAGGGTCACACAGCTAGTAATGTTATATGTCTGAGGCTGGATTTGAACTCAGGTCCTCCTGAATCCAGGGCCGCTGCTCTATCCACTGCACCACCTAGTTGCCCCTATACCTGTAGGATTTAATACCAACTTCTGAGGCATTTATGGTTTTCCCACCACAATCTGTATCCAACTTATTACTATTATTATTACATACTATTCCCTTGCTTGTGTTCTACAGCCAGACAAAATGGACTATTAACTAACTAGCTGTTTCCTGATCCTAACTATAGGCTATGGCCCATATCTAAAATGCCTGGGCCACAATTCCATCATCATTGAATGAAGTCAGTTAGATTAGATAATCTATAAGGTTCCTTCCATCTCTGGCAGCCTAAGATGTACAACTCCTCTATGAAACCTTCCCTTATTCTTCAGCTCAAATTGATCTCTACCTTCTCAAATTTTCTTGTTGCATTCTGCATGAATTAGACTTAGTCTTTACCAACCCACTTTGCCTCAAAATATTGCAGGCTCTTACTATATCTAATGATATGATGCAGTATATAGAAAAGATAATAAATGTTTGTTGAATTTGCTGGGCTCAATCCATATGTTATGACTTCAAGACCTAACTTCCCATGGACCAGTGTATCTAATAGGGAATACCTCTTTCACTGAACTCACCACTGGTCCCTGGAACTCAGGCCCATCTTCCTCTGACACCATCAAAGCTGTCGTCCCCAATTTGTGAAACACAACCGAGGTCTCCACCACCTTCCCCTCGAACTCTGTAAGAGGAGGAGGGGGGCTGCTCGTTGCTCAGGCACAAGGTAGGATCCTGCACCGTGTGTTCCCCCACTCTCTCCGTCCCTAGGGGCCCCAACCCCTGGTTAATGACATCTTCAGGACTCTTCTCTGGATACAAGATTGTTTCTCAATCTCAGGGGCTTCCCCATAACCTTCCTGCACCGACAATCAAGCCTCTTATTCCAGAGGGTTCTTACCCCGCACGTCTATGGAGAAGCCACACCTGGGGCAAGTTACTGTGTCCAAAGTTCCAGGAAGAGGCAAAATTGAGCCGCATTCGGGGCAGAAATCCGAGTCTGAATAGAATCTGGAGGAGGCTGGAGGGCGGTCCATGGCGAAGAGCTGGGAGGAAGAGAGTAAGCAGGAGGGCATTCTTTTCTCCCCGCTGAACCTCGGGTCCCGGGAATCCCTTGCCTCCCTCCGCCCACGACTGCCTCTCAATGCCCTCCCGAGTCCTGTCCAGACCGCAGTTCTCACCCTGTCTCCCAGGATCCCGGCTCCAGGAGCAAGCACGCGTCTGCAAACTCCGGATCGGACTAGAGGTGAGAAAGGACTAGGACGTCAGCTCGAGCAAACGCGCCGGGGCCGCGCCGGCCGGGCGGGGCAGGGCGTCCGCTTCACGATAGGCTGCGGCGTCACAGTGAGACTCGTGCCCTACTCCCGAGTCTTGGCGCGCCGCGGGATTTTGGCGTCACCCGCAGCCCAGCGCACGTCAGACGTACAGCTGAATTTCTACATCTGTAATTGTTTGCTAGGCTTTTGCAGACTTCCCTCTCTCCCTGTTCTCCCGGTACCCCAGGCCTACAGGTATAATCTTAGTCCCGGGCCTGTGACTTTAAGGTGCCTTTGTCCCACTGCTGCCGTTGCCTGCTCTACACAGTAAGGAAATCTAGACGCTTCCATGTTGGTGCTGGAGCTGGATGCGCCGTGCCACGTGTTTTTTTTTTTCCCCTCCCTTCTCCCTTTCTAATCCATCCCTCGGTGGAGCTCTTTGGTGATATGAATATAATCTCAGATTAATCAGTCTGCCAAGAGTAATAGATCAGAACCCAGAGATGACCATAATTTCATCTCTTCCCCCAACCCTAAACCATTTTTATAGAGGAAAATACCAGAAGCAAAGGAGTAAGGAGGATTTCTATGAGAAGATAAAATATTCCTGGAGTAGGAACAGCAAAGTCCTATTTTCCCCCCAGAGCAGTGAGGCCCCATCGTTTCCCTATATGTTGATTAGGCAACCCTTTCCCCCATATTCTTAGCCCTTTCTTCCATATGCTGCACAGACAACTGCTTCCTCCCTTTGCTGAATAGGCAACTCGATAGCCCTATCACCAGCGACCTTGTGATTAAGGGACTTTCCCAAGACTGTGCAAGTGCAACGAGATTCCTCAGTGCCTGATAGTAGCTTAGGTGATGTCAAAGTCTCCATTTATATCTTATGAATATGGTAATGAAAGGACTCCCAAGAGTGAAAGTATAGCTATGCCTTTTTTTGTTTTTTGCCTTTTTGGTGAGGCAATCGGGGTTAAGTGATTTATCCAGGGTCACACACAGCTGGTATGTGTCATGTGTCTGAGGCCACATTTGAACTCAGGTCCTCCTGACTCCAAAGGCAGGAGCTCTATCCACTATACCACCTAGCTGCCCCAAAGTACAGCTCTTTCAAGATAGCCACCCGGAACACCCAGTACAGTGCAGGCACAAGTCTTTTTCTGCTTGCATAGCACGAAGATTATGCCATAGCAAATTTCCATAAGTCACTTTCCGGTCAACTCTGTTATAAGCAAATCCCCATTCCCCTTCCACCCAACCAGTCAGTATCCTGAGCTGTTTGGTTCCATTTGCTCTTATGACAATAAAGTCTTGCTTGGAAGGACTCTGACCTTGGTATTCTTACCAGCTCCCAGCCGGCTTTCCCAGTACATTCTTATTCATTAGAAATTTGGGAAGAATAGGTGTTCCTGGAGGTCCCTGTGGTTAAGTAAGCATATAGTGAGTTACAACAATATCTATGAGATTCCAAGTGGGTCATGTGCGATATTAGTAGAACCCAAATTAATTGATCATCAGTAAGCATTTCTAAAATAGGTTTGCTTTTGTAAGTGTAATTTTTGTTGTTTAGTCGCTTTTCAGTCTTGTCAGATTCTTCATGGAATCTCAGATACTGTTACAACTCACTATTTCCTTACTTAACTACAAGGACCTACAAGAATGATGCTACCTATGTAAGCGTACCTAATGCTTGTATAGGGGACAGCTAGGCGGTACCATAGAACACTGGGTTTGGAATCAGGAAGACTTACCTTTCTGAGTTCCAGTCTGGCCTCAGGCATAGCCGTGTGATCCCAGGCAAGTCACTTAACCCTGTTTGCCTCAGTTTTCTCATCTGTAAAATGAGCTGTATCTTTGCTGAGAAAGCCCCAAATAAGGTCACAAGAGTCTGACACAACTGAAAAATGATCAAACAACAACAATGCTTATGTAACAACCTTGTTACATAATTTGTAATTTGTAATTTTAAAAAATTACTTAAATATGCCAGGCATATGCTTAGCACTGAAGATACAAAGAACATGCAAAAAATGGTCTGTGACCTCAAGGAGCTTACAATCTAACAGGCAACAACATGTTCTTTGAATAGGCACATGTAAAATAGAGAGAAGGTAGCTTTTGGGGGGGAAGGTACTAGCAGCTGTGAAGGGACCAAGAAAGGCCTCCTGCAAAAGGTGGCACTTGAAGTAAGTCATGAAGCCAGGGATTCTAAGAGGTGTGGAAGTGAGGAGGTCATGGAGGGCAGTCAGTACAAAGGTGAGGTAAATGAATGAGGAACGTCACATGGGCTGGATTGTGGAGTATGTGAGGAGAGTAACGTGTGAGAACACTGGTGTTATGGGTGACCTAACTCATGTTGGAATGGAGGGAAACCCTCATAGATCCTTAGAATACAAGTTAACAAAATGTTTATTTAGCTATATCCCAGAAAGGATATTCAATAAGGATACTCCAGCATTTTAGCTTGCATAGACCAGGTACCCGCTCATCTCCAGGTGGAAATTTGTCTGGTTACCAGGACAGAATGTGGTGATTCTACAGTCACAGGTTTAAGGACACCCACCAAATCTGAAGGACCCTGACATCCACATAGATGGCTGCCTGGGAAACCACATCATTATGGCCAGAGGCTACTGCAAAGGAAGCACAGTTTGAATGTCCCCCAACCCTCAGCAGGTTCTTGGGACAACTTTGTTGCCTTTCAAGGAAAAACTAGCCTAACCCGTTGTAGTAGGGGAGGGGAGAACTCTTGATAGGTAGTGATCTTACCACAACTGGAAAGCTAGGAAAAGGCCAGGTTGTGAAGGACTTTAAATGCCAAATTGAGCTTATGTTTGATCCTAGCGACAATGGGAAACTATGAGGGGCAGGATGTGTGACACTGTCAGACTTATACTTTAGGAAAGTCACTTTATGTCCAGAATGGATTAGGGCAGGGAAAGACATGAGGCATAGAGTCCAATTTAAAGATTGTATATTGCAATAGAACAGGTAAGAAGTGATGAGGACTCGAACTAGGGTTGTAGCTGTGTTAGAGAAAATGTCTTGTGGGATATCAATTCTGCTATATGTAAGTCATTTAAATATTAAACATGCAACCTTGTGTAATTTCAGGCTAGGCCAGTGATGACATAGAGCAATGTTTGTGACCTTCCCTTGTGTTGCCATCAACCTGCTCTATAAATAAACCCATGTCAACAAGCAACTTCTAAAGGACCTCAGCAGATAATTCAGAGTATTAGGGACTGGAGTATTGGAGAGTGATTCTCTTGAATGATGACTGAGAGCAAAGTTAGGAAATGGAAAGGTTGCTAATTAAAGCTTTAGCAAGCAGATTGGGACAAAGAAGAAGCAGAGTACAAAGATGTTGTACCTGCAGATTGAGGCCCAGAGGGCAAAGGCCAATGGGCTACCCAAAGAAAAAGAACTGAAATATCCGGAGATAAGAAATGCATCAGAAAAGAAAGAAAGATTTAAGAGTGCTGGATCTAGTGTGGAAAGAGGGGATAGTGGAAGAGCAGAAGAGAAGCCAGGCTCTCCCCTATTCAGCTCCATGCTGCCTGACTCAGAATGGGTAAAGCTAAGTCCTCAAGAGAAGTAAGCACAATTTTGGGTTGTTGTTCCATTTTAGAAGAAATCAGGGGATAAAATTTTTCTTATTCTCCTCCTCAGAAAGGGCAGCTCTCTACAATAGAAAAAACTACCATGTTCTCTCTTTTTTTTGTGTGTATATGCATACACACACACACACAAGTCTATGTATTTAATATACACGTGTATGTATGCATGTGTGTGTTTATCTACTTATTTATCTATCTGTTATCTATCTATCTAATGTAGTATTAGTGGGTAGGGAAAAAAAAACCCTTGCTTGAGAAATACCCTTATTGGGATGAGAGAGGATGATACTTGGAAAAGAAAGGGAGAGGTAGAATGGGGTAAATTATCTCACAAAAAAAAAACCCAGAAAAGAAAAGTCTCTCACAGTGGAGGGGAAACAGGGGAAGGTGAGAGGGAATGAGGGCATCTTATTCTCATAGGATTTGGCTTAAGGAGAGAATAACATACATATTCAATTGGGTATGGAAATCTGTCTTACCCTACAGGAAAATAGGGGGAGAAGGGGACAAGAGAGCAGGGGAGTGATAGAGAGGAGGGCAGATTGGGAAAGGGGGTAATCAGAAGCAAATACTTCTGAGGAGGGACAGGGTCAAAAGAAAGAATAGAATAAATGGGAGGGCAGGATAGGATTAAGGGAAATAGAGTTAGTTTTTCACAACATGTCTACTATGGCAGTGTTTTGCATAACTGCACATGTACAACCTATATTGAGTTGCTTGCCTTTTCAATGAGGGTGGGTGGGGAGAGAGGAAGGGAGAAAATTTGGAACTCAAAGTTTTAAAAACACATGTTTTAAAAAAAATGTTTTCACATGCAACTGGGAAATAAGAAATACAGGAAATGGAGTACAGAAGTCTATCCTGCTCTACAGGAAAATAGAAGGGGAAGGGGATAAGAGAAGGGAGGGGGAGAGATAGAAGAGAAGGCAGACTAGGGGAAGGGGTATTCAGAATGCATGCCATCTTGGGGTGGGGGGAGGGGTGTGAAACTTGGAACTCAAAAACTTGTGGAAGTGGATGTTGAAAACAAAATAAATAAATTTATATTAAAAAAAAGAGAAATAACCTTATTTACAGTTGTAAGCATTAGATTTCTTGGCCCAGATGTGGCCAAACTTTGTGATAGAATTTACTCATTATCTGAGTCATAGAAACAGTTTCTTAAGTTCTAATACTTATGTCTTTTTCATTGTCTAGATTATCCTGGGCAAAAAGGACCCAAGACCCTCGGATTGCCATAGGTCATCAATCCCCACTAGAAAAAAAAATTGTGGTAAGTTAATTAGCATAACATCATGCAACAGAGAGTTATAGTATCTTCAATTAGCAAGTTTCTGTGCTAGCAAAATTTCCCAGCTTTCTGTAGCTTGTAAAACAAAATATCAATATTTACGTAACGCTTTAAGGTTTGCAAAGCGCTTTACAAATATTAAACCACACAACCCTTTGGGAGGTAGGTGATATTATTATCCTCATTTTATAGAATAAGGCAGAAGCCTAGTTAAACTGACTTGTCTAGGATCACACAGTTAGTGCTAGTTAAGCATCTGAGGATGAATTTGAACTCAGGTCGAAATATTGGGTTGAAAACTCTCAAAAATAATCATCATGGTATATACATTTCTTAATTTGTTGGCAAGGAGGCCTCAAGATGTATACTTGGCAGTAAAAGTGGACCAAGCCTAACTGCTATTTTTACCAAATGTAGAGAAAGTCAGCCAGTGTCTTTTCTCTACAACAGTGTAGAAAAATGTAAAAAAAAAAATCCACTTCATTTTGACAGAGTTTAGGTGGTCCACAAACTCCAGCTGCAAGAAATCTGTTAGCTCAAAGACGTAAAGAGGAACACGAGACACTCTTTAAGGAAAAGGTTAAGTCTTTTGACTATCAACTTGCTAAAGCAGAGAATTACTACCATACAAGAATACTGGAAATGATGGAAGAACAGAATGAATTTAAGAAGCCCCGAATAGAGCTAGTGACAACACCAAAAAGCCAGAAGAACTCAGAGGCTGAAGAATGGGACTATTTGGTATCAGAGAGAGAGTTAAAACAAATAGAGTGTCATATACGCAGGGCAGAACAGGCCAGATGTATTAAAGATACAAAATGTGAATCATTCCCCCAAATCCCAAGCAAAACACATTTCCCCCAAATTCTTATACCTGAAAGTAAAAAGGGTGCCATCCAGAAAACCCCATCGATGAGAAAGCAAATAAGAGAGTGGGATTGGAAGCAGCAAACAAAAGAACATTTAGAACGCATGATTCGAGGTAGAGAATTTAATGAGGAAAGAAACAAGGAAAGACTTTCTGTAAGAATCCCAAGTCATCCTCCTCCATTTCAAAAGCATGTAAAGAAGAAGAGCCATAAATGGTTTGGATGGAACACTGCTTATCCACTTCTCCAACCTCAAGATGCAAGTCCAATCAAAGTGGATGTCTTTGTGGAAGAATCATCAGAAGAGAACAAGAAAGAGGTGAGAAAAAGTAAAAAACAAGTTCATAGAATATTTTTGACTATTCCTTCATTTTTGAGGAGTCAGTTAGAAAAAATGAAGCATTATTAAAATTCTATAATTTTTGTGATGAAGGTTATAACCTCTTTCTTAGATGAACCTATTTTTATTATGAAATTATTATTATTATGAAACCTATTATTATTATGAAAGCTGTTCTATGGTTATTATTTACCAAATATAGTATGTAGAATGGGTTACCATACTAAATAATATAATTTAAAAAGTGATTTCCTGGAAGCAGGCTCTGCTGATTATGCTGATACCCTTACATAAATTTTCAACAATGTTCTTTATTTCCTTTTCATTATATTTCCCTTTTTTCATTTTTATTGTGAGACCCTTATGGGCAGGGACTGTCTTGTGCATTTCATCTTATCCTCAGGGCTTGCACAGTGCCTGGGGCAGTGCTAGTGGGTGCTTAATAAATGCTTATTGACTATGACTAGTGATTTTGGCTTTCTTCTCTCTTAAAATGATCAAATTAATTTACTAATAGTTTACCAATTGTTATTGGTCATTAAAAAAAACTAGGCTTATTTTTTAGTCTCCTATTTTCTTCTTTTGTACTTATTTAGGATTTTGAAGATAGCTTTTAACTGGGGGGGATGGTTATTTAGTTCATTTAGAATAGCTTATATTTTTATGAGTGAGAGTAATAGAATTTCTCGTAAACAACCCAATGTCAGGAAAAAAAATTAGAAGCTATAATTAATTTCCAAAGGAGAAAAAATTCCATATTCAGAAGGATTTAATAAAAATGCCTTTGCTCCATAAACTTTTTATAAAAAAACAGAGAAAGGAAAGATATCTTACCAAACCCCAAAGTTTTTCCATTGGGGCAAACAAATAAGCTACTGATATGGAAATGAAGGAAAAATAAAGTAGAGAAAGAAAGCTATATAACAACAACATCTCCACCATTAGACCTCAGAAGCTTCTTGCATGGCTTGGCATAAATAATGGATATTATTGCTTACCTTCTCAAGGGGTTGGGGAGGAAAGGGAGGGAGAGAATTTAGAACTCAAAATTAAAAAAAAATGAATGTTGAAATTTTTTTACATGTAATTGAGGAATATTATTTATGAAATAAAACTATTTTAAAGATATCAGCTTAACCTTTATATCTCTTAAAAGTCACTAGCGGATTAGCAGGACCTCTTTAATTCTGTATTTTTGTTCCATTATTGTGATGGATTGTTCCATCAATATTCTATATTGCAAATAATCTATGTAAATCACTTTGTAAACCTTAAAGTGCTATATATATTAGCTACTGTTATTGTTACCCTTCTTTTGATCAGTTCTTCCACTGTCTACAAGCTATATCAACTCCCACTGGGAAAGGAAATAATGTTAGTGAATGTAGGCAGACTCTTAGAAAGCTTCCATTTTTTTTTTGCTATATTATAAATAATGTTAGCAAAATCAAATCAACAAGTATTTATATTAAGGGCTTATTATATATATATATATATATATATATATATATGTATATATATATATATATATATATATATATATATATATATATATATATATATATATATATATATATATGTATATATATGCCAGGCACTGTGCCTTGAATAATTTTGTTTTATTAGATAAGATGCTTCTGAAGGACCTTAATTTCCTCATCTGTAAAATCAGCAGGTTAAATTCACCAAATGAATTCAAAGATATCTTTCAACTATTATAAATCCGTGATCACTTTTATTCATATTAAGAAAAGGCTCCTTCATTCTATACTTTTTAATGTTTTAAATGTAAATATATGTACCTTTTTTTATGCTTATTGCTATAATCAATGACTTTAACTTTTGGGTTATATATAGTTTTACTGTTGATCCAGTTTGATAACACTGAATAATTTTTGGATACATTGTTGTAACTTCTTTACTTCTGAGATCTAATGGTGGAGACAACATGGAAGCAACTATGTATGAACAAGTTATATACAGGATAAGTTGGAAATAATCAACACAAAGGGAATCACTAAAATTAAGGTGGATCGGGGAAAGGTGTCCTATAGAAAATGGGATTTTAGCTGAGACTTGAAGGAAGCTAGAAAGATAAAGAGGGAGAATATGCCTGGTATGGGGGACAGCCAGCCAATGGAAGTGAATGGGGTTGGAAGATGGAGTGTGTGTGTGTGTGTGTGTGTGTGTTTAAAGGGGGAGCACTTTACTTCTTTAAGCATAAGACAGTTACCTTTTCAGACTACAGTAGCCAATTCATTGATGCCAAAGCAGAGCTGAAGACTGAGTTCATTTGAATAATGTTCATGAAGTTTGTCCCAAAGTTTAATACTTTTTATAGATTGTCTTTACTAGGAGTACACAAGGATACTGTAAAGAGACTACCTTTACAACAGCAGATTTCTACCATCCCAATTCAACTTGGCTCAGGCTTCATTCACTCTCGGAGTACTTATTGAGTGCCTGCTTCATAGTACATGTGGGAAAGCCCTGTGTTAGTCAACAAAGGGGATCATGATAAATAAGATATGGTTTCTCCAGGAGAACAATTTATACAATAACAATAACATTTTAACGACAAATAACTTTAAAAGTTAAGGACTCTCATCAATGCAATTGACCAACCAAGATTTCAGAGACCAAGCATGCTATACCCACATTTTGACTTGGTGCAGAATGAAACTTTTTTTGGGACATGGCCAATGCAGGAATTTGTTTTGCTTGACTATACTGTTAGTTACAAGGGCTTTATTTTTCTTTTTCCAATGGGTAAAAAGGTGAATGGGAGAAAAAATAGATTTTTGTTAACTGAAAATAATGTAATAAAAATTATGGTTGGTTCCATTTAAGGAGTTTAATTAAAATGAAGCTACATTTTCCTAACTAACAGACACCAGCAGACCTGGGGTAGAGGGCAGGGAGGGCAGGTGGGATGTGGCAGAGATGCTGTTGTGAAGAGACAGTAGACACCCAGAACTAAGAGAGAGAGAACTACAAGAAATCTATAGTGGCCAAATTACCAAAGAGCAGCTGAAGGGGAAAGGTTGGCAGATTGGCAGGCAGGTAGGGAGATTCTAGGAGGGTCTTCTGGAGGACGTGACATGATTTCTAAGTTCCCTTCCAGGTCTAAAATTCTGTTACTATATAAGGTAGCAGCCATGGTCTACAACATCAGATATCAGAGGAGTTGGTAGGTGGCATCTGGAGAAGAGATAATTCTGGTAGCAGCTGGGGTGTGGGGAATAATGGGGAGGAGGGGGGACAATGAAGAGGAGAAAAGAAATCAGAGACCCTTGAGATCAAGCTGAGAAAGGAGTAGTAGTTAGCAATGGATACCTGATAGTTTAGTTAATATTCAACTAAAATAATTTATATCATGAAAGGTAACTACATTCTCTCATAAATGGTTCCCTGGAGCCTATTGTGTCAGAAAGAAAGCTGGACTACATTGGTGGTTGGACAAGAGGTATAGCATGGATTAAGCCTGTACCTATGGAATAAACCATTACTGCTGTATTTCCACCTCTGAAGAGGTGATACATTTTTCTCTGATATATTCTTCTTTTGCAAATGCTAGGCATGGAGAATTTCTATGAAGGAAGAGAAAGAACAAAACAAATCTACATATTTCTCATTCTTCATTGTGTGTTTTTCCTCATTTGTTTTAAATCTAAATTTTTGGTGGTCCTATATTTAATAAACATTGTCTGATAAATTTCAAAAAACACAGAAAATAAAATGGATTATACACAAAGTCATGAATCTATTATATGCGCAGCTTGCATTTTTAAAATTATGAATCCAACATGTTAGTTTCAAAGCTGTCTTGCTTGTTGCTATGTCAACCCATTTTTGTATACTTGGAGCCAAAAGGGAAAAAATTATGCAAAAGCATATTAAAACAAGAGACAGTTCAATTCAGTTTAAAACACTTACTAGGTGCCTTCTAGGTACAAAGCAAGAGTTCTGGACCTCTTTTTAAAGTAATCAGTGACAGGTGATTATTATCTCCAGGGGTATGGGAAAAGGATAGGGTGAGGGTGGATAGGACAAAAGCAGACACATTTACACAGATGGACTTAGGGAGCTTTCAGAATTGGAGGTTTATGTGGCGGGTAGCTGTAGCAAGTCTGTGTAGCACAGAGCTGAAAATCAGGCTTATTCCACATCCTCATCACTCCAGACTCATCTTCCTCAGGTCTCCTAGATCTTTGGCACTCCAGCATCCCACTCACCAGTCTTCCTATATAGCTCCTCTATATCTTAGCTGTCTCCGTATTTCTCTGCCTTCATATTCTACTCTTTTTTTTTTTAAGGCAGTTGGGGTTAAGTGACTTGCCCAAGGGTCACACAGCTAGTAAGCTTCAAGTGTTTGATCTGAGGTCGGATTTGAACTCAGGTCCTCCTGACTTCAGGTCCTCCGGTGCTCTATCCACTGTGCCACCTAGCTGCCCTCCCCCTTCATATTAATAGCTTATTTATATATTTACACTTATCTCACTATAGCTGTCTGAAGAAGGTAGTATAAACATCCCCATTTACAGATACAGAATTGAAGCAACTGATGTCCAATGGTCAAGCGAGCTAGGTGGTACAGTGGATAGAGTGCTGGACCTGGAGTTTTGAAGACCTGGATTCTAATCCTGCCTCAGACACTTACTAGTTGTGTGAACCTGGTCGAATTACTTAACTTCTGCCTGCCTTGGTTTCCACATCTTTGAAATGGGGGTAATAATATCCCTACTTCCCAAGGTTGTGGTAGGAGAAAATGAAATAAACCCTGTAAGATGCTTTACAGACTTAAAGCACATGCCATCTAAGTTAAGCTTTCCACCTTATCAAGGTCATCCCACCCTCACTTTGCCTCAGTCCTTCCTCTCCAGTTTAGCTATGGTAGCCTTCATATACTCAGTCACTTGCCTTCCCTTGACATCCCTCTCTCCTTGCCCGTACCAAATCCAGCCCTGTCTTCTTATGCC